GTCAGTGGATTATGAATCAAAATTAAGGAACTAAATCTGATTTCTAGCCAAACTTCCTTAGTCAATTGGAAGGGGGTAAGGGAGAGTCCTCTTGTTTGTCATCAACATCTTCATCTTGCTTTCACATTCATTGTCTTATTGAACAATTCCAAAGGACAACTTAAATACTTGAAAAACTTTTTAATTTCTTTGTTGATAATTTAGGATTATATTTTAAGAAAATAATCAAATCATCAACTTTCAAGCTAGGCCCAACAATTGTAAACTATAACTTCTTATGAATTAATTCATCTCATTCCTTGAGGGATCGACATACGGAATTCAATTATGTATATTACTGAGAGACCATGTATAATTGCTTGAGTCATTCGTATTTCACAGAACTTGGTGTGTGTCAACCGTCGATCTTACCGCTGAATCTTTTGTTGTGATGCATGACCCATCGATCAAACTAACTGCTCAATAAGTTGTTGGTGCTCTACCACTACAGAAAGGAGGACCAACTAACGACAAGAGGTCGCTCTAATGCCTTTGAATGTGCCCTTAAAAAGTTGAGCTATAGGTGCACAGGGAAGTGCACTAAGGTGGGAGCTTGCTTCCAAGAGCTTTTCTACTGCGCTCAGAGAGGTCAGATCAATGACTACGGAGGGCAAGGAGGTGCTTGCTCTCTTAAGGAAGATGCTAGGGTCCAGGGGAATGAGTGGGATGAGAGGTTGAGTCAAATAGGGAAGGTGGTGGCCAAAAAAAAAATTCATTTTTTTTTCTTTTTTTTGTGCAAACCCCACAGGTTGGTCTCATGCGGTTGCCACGACAATTATAGGTGGCTGAGTTGGTCAAAGCTAGGTGGACAATCCTCAGGAGAGTTGACACCACTAGTAAGAGGCCTCCATTCCTCAAGGGAATAGTGAAAGGGCATGATTTTTCCACGGGGAGGCTTTAGGTGTAATTGGATTAGTCATGGGCTGGCTTGGGCTAGCTTGGGTTCATGTGGTCCAATTGGGCTTGAGCTAGCTTAGGTTGGGTTTGAATTTGGTTTGTTTTTTTAGTTTTTGGTGTAGTTAGGTTTATATTAGTTTAGTTTAATTGAATTGGTTTAATGTTTGAGCTTAATCAATATTATTTTTTGAGTTAGTTTAGTTAGGTTTAGGATTAGTTTAGTTTTATTATAATTTGGTTTAATGTTTAAGTTTGATTAACGTTAGAGTTTAGGTTTGATACACCACCAACAATTTTTCATCATCCAACATGAATCTCGAGGCATGACACGAATCTCAAGATGATATTTTAGCAAGAAACATTCAAATTTTGATATAATATTCAAATCTTGATAAAAAGTCATCCAGAGCTCTGATTTCAACAAATTTATAGTCAAACTGACTTGTTCAATGAGATATGTTCAATGAGATGAACCTAATGATATGAAAACTAGTCTAATCCAAGTAAAATCAAGCCAGATCAAGTCATTAAATCATAGTTAGAAGATTTATGAAAATATTTAGAAAATCAAACAGCTGTGAAATATGTCAAGTTTATACTCAAATCGAGCGGCTCGACAAGACAAATCCAACGAGCCTAAGATCACTCAATTCTGACATCATTAAGACACTCAAATGTCCATTAAACGTTGTATGATTGAGGGAAGCTCTCCGGATAGTCCGATCAAAATGGTTCATATTCCTGCATTAATTGCACCTAGAACATTATAAATAGAGTCTCATCCCTCTCATGAGGGGGAAGGAAGTCTAGAGAGAGTCTGAGGTCTTAAGGAAAAGTTACAGCTCAACATCACCACCAATCGCGTCGACCACCACCGACCTCCATTGTCGACCACAGCCGACCGCCGTCGACCACCCCCGACCTCCATCGTCGACCCTTCCGTCATCGATCGCCGACGACCACCGCCGACCGTCGTCAACCTCCACATACCGTCATCAATCACTACCAACCAGACGTCGTCAGTCGACATTGTAATCTAAAAAATATAGTTATCATTTCCGGTTTGTGGGACAAGAGATTTCTGTAACCATCAATCAATAGTGAATTTCTGCAACTGAGCCAAACTCGTGGTTTTTCCCTAACGGGTTTTCCACGTACACCATCAATCAATAGTGAATTTCTGCAACTGAGCCAAACTCGTGGTTTTTCCCTAACGGGTTTTCCACGTACAAACTTATGGAGTCATCACCGTTTTTTTCTATTTCATCTGTGTGTGTGTTGAACTTTCGTACAACGCTAAGACGATAATTTGTTACTCTACCACATCAAATTTTCTAGCACGCATCAAGGTTAATTTAGTTTTAGTTTAAATTAATTTTTGATTTGTTTAATTTTTATATATAAACCTTACCCATACATATATGTTCAAATGCATATATACACATGTTTTTGTATATAAATATGGATTTTGTAATCACACATAAGAATGTATATGCATGTATGATTTCTTATATTTAGATTTTGAGTTCGACTTTAGTAAATTATTGTTAAAATTACTACTAGAACAATTTAAATTTTAGTTTGGATTTCATATAAGTTGACCATCTACAAAAAAAAAAAAATTATATTCTTAAAATTTCATTAATTTAGGGGTGCAACTTTAATTTAAGCTAATCACAAGCCTAAGCGAACCAACTAAGGCACATCTAAGCCTAACCTCGTCACTTTGGGGCTATAGAAAGGAAACTTAAGTCTAGATCAGGAAGAGTGGAAGGAAAGTTGTTAACCAAAAATAAGATCAACATATATCTTAAATGAACACTCGATATGATGCATATTAGAAGCCTTACAAGTTTTTTCCATGACAACTTTGGCAAAGAGCTATATAAGGGGATGCTTTGGAACGCCTAGGGGAGCTTGATAGAACTTGTAAGGCTTCTTTCAACAAGAGTTACATTTTCTTTGTCAAATCCTAGGGTTTCCCTTCCTCATTCCTTGGGAGAAATTCCTAGTGTTAAATTTGTTTTGAGTTTTGAGAGGTTGTTGTGTGTGAGAGAGAGATATTAAAGGCGTGGAGTGCTTTCATGATACGATGCATATTAGGTGTTTTGCGAAAAACATTCAGCTTGATTGGAGTTTGTGTAATTTCATTCATTCGCATCTTCAATGTGTGATGAAAATTTAAGTGCTTTTCTACCTCATGTCTCGTAGCAAATTATTATTGTTATTATTATTATTTCGAGTCAAAACAAGCTGAATAGAATGAACACATTTTTGTTCGTGTTTAGCTCGTTTATATATCGAGCGCAAAAAAATTATTCGTGTTCGGCTTGTTAACTTAGCGAACGAATCGAACACAATCTTCTTAATAAACCGAACACAAACTCTCTGCGAACAACGAGCCGTTTTGACAACCCTAAATATCATCTTCTAAAATATTTAAAATTTAAATCATAGATGTATAAATAAAAAAAATATTTACATACAGGAAGAAAATAAATACTTATAATAAGATAAATTGAAAAAAAAAGAGAAATTAATTTTAGCTGCAAATTAATAAAGATAAATACAAATAAACTATGATAAGAAATATTTACTTCGAAAAAAAAATATTTGGAAAGTGTCCATACCAACCCATAGAGGTTGTCATTCGAGGACAACATAGTAAAAAGTACTAGATTATATGTACATGACAATTAAATTTAACAAAATTAATATTTATTCAAATCAAATAATAAAATATAAAATTTTGTGCAAATTTTAAGGTAGTTATAAGAATTTTAATATCATAATTGAAACCAAACACACGCAATAATAAAGTGGGTTTCATTTAAAGAAGAATAATTTAAATGTGCATCAAATACGTGTCAGCACTGATCTTGAGGAGATTTAACGGTCTGGAGAAGAAAAATACGACAAATGAGGGTCTATCGACAGGAGTAAAAAAGGCCCATTTATCTGACCTGTTGTAGCCATCTGAGCCAAAGGCGATAACAGACCGAGTGATTTGAGTGCAAACCATTCAAGCTAAAACGAGGCAAATAAGCATCCGGGCAACCACTACAAGTATGTCTACCCAATATAATAGACAACATTTAGGTAGATCGAATTCGTGGTAAAATTGAATTCCACTATATCACTAATCATCCCATGGACCCCCCAAAACTTTTCATCATTCATCAATCATTAAACAATATAACGAGAATTCTTATAGTCATCTTTTAGGTCGTCCTTATTGAGAAGTGAGCTGCCTATCGGGTTATGGTGATTCACCATCTGCTTGAAAATCTACGGACGCTATACCAATAAGAGCTCTTAATCAGGGATTGAGGGTCAACAATTAGAATAGATCAATTGACGACAAAGCCTAGTTTACCGAACTAGTCCTGCCGAAAAAAAAACCAATCAAGCTTAGCCGAACAACAATGCAGGTTCAGCCTAGTCGACCAGACTGTCCTTACTGAGCTGATGTCAAACAAGCTTAGCCAATCGAGCTAGAGAATGACCGAGTGATAGACTCTTATGTGTTAAATAACTAGAGTACCCCGTACAACCCCTATTAAAGTATGTGCACAAATATAAATATCATCATATAGTACTCTCTTATTTATAAATAAGGAGATTACAAGGGTTAATAAGATTTAAACAAAAAAGATGAGAAAATGTCAACGCGATCGATATAATTTACTCTTTACTTTCTCTCTATCTCTCCCTATATTTTTCTCTTATTTTTTACGCTCCATTCATTAGGTTGTGATCACAAAAGAATTAAAATTCAATAATAAGCTATCATTTTCATATTAAATATTTACATATTATATAAATAAATATTATAATTTGGATGTTAAATTCACAATTAAATGAAAATTTTGTCTAAAATGTAATCCCCAAATTCTTAATATCCTAACATTAAAGTCAAATTATGTTTCATATGTACTTGCAATTATATTAAATTCTTTGAAAAATACAGATAGATTTCAATAGAACACGACACAGAACTCATAATTATACGATAACCCGAATTACTTTCAATGCGACACGATAAGTGGCCACACAGAACTCCAAGTCTCCATCTACCTGTCCCTTTCGCCGGTAGCCCTACGTGGCTCCCGAATTAAGCTTTTGCTTTTTTGGAGAAGAAAGCAGGCTTCGGTGCGGATCAAATGAAACCCTAGATTCTGGAGAGGGTGATCTGGTGAGCATATCTCTCACCGAGAATTACTAGCGATTGCTTCTTCAACTCACTAGTCTTCTCCGGTAACCTAAAAATCACTTTTCTTTTGTTATTCTTTTGACGAATCCACAATTTTTGTTTTCGTTGGAAGGAAAACTTATAGCAGATTGATCTGGTGACATGCCATCGTTTGCTTAATTTGCAGTATAAGTGGTTCATGGATATTTTGTATTTGAAATATGTTCCGTCTGTTAGTTCTTTTTTGGTGAAAAATGCATAATAAAATCGAGTATTTACAATACTTACTTTGATATTCTACACTTCATTCGCTGCTTTAGACAGTTATTGTAGATGCAGAGGAATTATTTTATGTTGCTGAAATGCTTATGATGCAGAACAAATTTTTGATACAGCTTCTGCTAAATCAAATCAGGTTGCATTGAGGAGCTCCGGTCTAGTAGTGAGTAGTCCAAGAAATTTCAAGAATTGAAGGCTTATATTGAGTGCATATTTCCTTGTATTATTCATGGAGATGCCAAACGATAGCAAAATAATGTGTTAAAAGTGCAATTTTTTTTTCTTTTTGCAGATAATGTATTTCTATTTTGCACCATTCACCATAAAGTAAATGATTAAGATAATGAAAGAAATTATTAGAAGATAGAGAGGCCTTGGAATTAGCTTGGGAAAAGTAAGTATATGAGATTTGATTGGTGGGTTTTATATTAATAAATATCAATTAATATTATTAGCATTTAAGATGATATTTAAGTAGTTTGAATCTATTATTTTGAATAATATAAATATCACAGTGAATTAATCATGGATGATTAAATCGTAGAAGCGCTTCGAGTGTTTTCTATGATAAGATGATTTTTTGGAGGCTGAAAGCTGGTTTTTATCAAATAAAAAATAGGCTGGCAATGTTGTATGGATCCAAATGTGAGAAAAATGAGGGTGTTAAGGAAATATTGGTTTGACTTATATAGAAGATAATCAAAGTGAAAGTTGTCCTAGGTGGTTTTAGAGATGCACAACATCATCATCATCATCATTGTACTTATTCCAACTTATTGGGTTTGGTGTTATAAATTGTCAAATTTCATCTATTAATGTTGAGTGTTGCTGTAATTTGTATTATTCACAAATTATTTTGAACTTCTTTTATCCAAGTAACCTCAAGTCCTTCCCTTTTTATTGCTAATCTGATGATACTAAATTTATCTAACACTGCCATTGTCAGGTCCCAAGCCCCATATGTGAAAAGTGGAGGGTTGCGTTGGTCTCAGAGCCTCGGTTCGAAGGTATGACAGAGCGTCAAAGAACACGCAATGGAGTCCGAAGCCACTAATGTGGAAGCATCTCAACAAGGGCGAGGTTGTCAGAAGCAATGAGATACAACTGCATCCAAACCACATGAGAGGTCCAAGGAGTGACTTTGATTTGCGTCTTACTCGGGTGAAGGAGGCGATGAATGGCATGAAGACGCGAATAGAGGATATTGGCGAAAAGATTGATGGACTCGAGGAGTAAATCGTCATCCATTCAACGATCAGTGGTATGATGTTTCAACTAGAGGAATTCCTAAGGGATCAAATGGCTAAGAGGCAGTAGGATTTTATGGGGAGCTCCAAGTGGTACGAAGAGCCCATGAGGACAAGATGAGCGGTGTACGTGTTAGGTTGGAGGAGATGCGTGAAGATATTTTGTTATGCAAGAGGGCATTAGCGACACCCACCAACCACCATACTTTCGAAGCTAGGTGGATTGAAGTTCCAAAACCAAAGAGTTTTGGAGGAGCTCACAATGTTAGGGAAATTGACAATTTTTTTATGGGGACTTAAGCAATATTTTGGAGCATTTGAGATTACAGATGAAGATGCAAGAATTCAATTTGCAGTTCTTTATCTCTCAGACATTGTTATGCTGTGGTGGAGAAGAAGGCGAGGAGATATGGAGAAAAGTATGTGCACCATATCCACTTTTGATAACTTTAAAAGGGAACTAAAGAGATCATTCTATCCCGAGAATGCAGAGGATGAGGCCAGAGCCTGATTGTGATGACTCCAGCAAGAGGGATCGATTCGGGAATATATTAGGGAGTTCACAAGCTTGGTTCTTGAAATTCCCGGCACGTCTGACAAGGATTCAACTTCATGGATGAATTCCAACAGTGGGCTAAGATTGAGCTTAGGAGGCGCGAAGTGCAAGGTCTTGCCACTGCCATCGATGTTGCCGAAAGCCTAATTGATTACTCAAAAGGGTCCACAAAGCCTAAAGAAAAGAAGAGTATCTATGTCAGGGGTGGGGCAAAAAATGTTCAACTCAAGGAAGAGACCCGCCGTGAATTGACTTCATTGAAAGCAAAAAATAATTGGAAGCGTAAAAATAACAAAACAAAACCACACAACAAGTGCTTTTTTTGTGATAGGCCACATTGGGCAACATATTGTCCTCCAAAGAAGTCTCTAAACTCTCTCCTTGCAAGTCATTAGAAGGAAGAAAGTGGTGATATGACAGTGCAGGTGAGGTCTATACAACTGCTGAATGGGATGCAAGCTCCAACAAAACCCCAAACAAAGTGGTACTCTTTATGGAGATGGTAGTAGGCGAGAAGACGACTAGAACAATGGTGGATACGGTGCTACCCATAACTTCATCTCTGTCGATGAAGCAAAGAAATTGACTTTGCAGATGACTGAATGAGGAGGCTCTATCAAGATGGTCAATTCAGCAGTAATGTCATTCCATGGAATAGTCAGGGGAGTAAAGACTGGTATTGGAGCGCGGTTAGGTACCTTAGACTTCTCTGTCATTTCGATGGATGATTTTAAAGTTGTTATAGTGACGAACTTCTTAGATCAAGCAGGAGCATTCCCAATGCCTTTCGCCAATAGCATGTGCATCATGGATGGGAATCAAGTTTGCTTAGTACCGATAACAAGGGCTATCACGTAGGAAGTCAAAATGCTATCAGCCATCCAATTCAAAGAGGACATTTCAAAAGACAAGTGGAGTTACTTGGCTGTTCTTCAGGATTTCGATGAAGAAGTGAAGCGCCAAGTTGAAATGCCAAGGGAAGTGGTGGATGTTCTTGAAGAACTACCACCAAAGAGGGAGAAAAACCATCTTATTAGGCTGGAGCCAAGGCTTAAGTTGTCAACCATGAAATCTCACTACATAACACTCCTCCCCCATACTACCAAGGAAAAACCCAAGTTTGTCAAGTTGTCAAGTCTGTAAGTTTGTCAAGTCTGTGAGCAAACAAAGGAAGCTGGTCCGAGTGTCAAGGGGAAGCCGCAATGAGGCCATTGGGAGCTTAACTGAGAGAGAGTGTCATGCTTCGTCATCTTTTAGAAACTGACAAGCAAACCATAAAATGGAAGGTTCTAGAGAAGAAACATCATAAAATTTGTCGAAAAATCTGGTTCTAACCTCATATTCTAGAAAATAGCAAGACAATTAGCATAAAATTTGTCGAAAAATCATTGCATGAATTCTTTTGATCATTGTGTAAATGCTAGAGTTTGCCCTAGAAACAACACATTGTATGATCTGAATGCAGTGAAAAGTGTGGAAGGGCCGCTATACGAAGCCTGAGTATAGTGTCTGATAAGTAAGAGTTCTCACGTTACGGATGGATGTGGGTAAAAAAGTTAGTCCATGAAACTAATATTAGGATAGAGTCTTGGAATATGTGTTCTCTCACATGTAAATTAATGAAATTAGTTGATATTATGATTCATAGAAAAATAAATATCTTATGTATTCAAGAAACTAAATGTGTTGGAGAAAAGGCTAAGGAAATTGATAATTTTGGTTTTAAACTTTGATATTATGATAAGAGTCGCATTAGAAATAGTGTATGTGTAATTGTAGATAAGAGTTTGAAAGATGATGTTGTAAAAAATTAATATAATTAAGGATAGAATTATAGACCTTAAGATTGTTGTTGATACTAAGATTTTTAATATTATAAGTGCGTATGCTTCTCAAGTAGGCCTCATTATGTGTTTTAAAGAAAAATTTGGAATGACCTAGAAAAATAAATACAAATGATACCTCTTGAAGAAAAAATTTTTATCAGAGAAGATTTAAATGGACATGTCGGTAGAGTAGTAGAAGATTTTAGAAATATTCATGGTGACTATGATTTTGGAGTGATTAATGAAGAAAGAAGTCATATTAGATTTTGCTTTATTATATGATTTTTTTATTTGCTAATACTTTATTGAATAGAAGAGATGTGCATACTATTACTTATAAGATGGGTCTAATAAAACACAAATTGATTATTTTTTTATGAGAAGAGGATATCGTCGAGAATGTAAAGATTGTAAGGACATTCCAAGTGAGAATTTAAGTATTTAACATCGATTATTAGTTTTGGATTTTAAGATGAAACGTTGTAAAATAAAAAAATACTAGAAATCATTGTCATAGAATTAGATGGGGGCATCTAAAAGACACAAATAATATTATTTTTATGAGTAAACTTCAAGATTTCAAGATTTAGGATGTTTATGAGGAAGAAACTCTATATGGGATAAAACAACAAACACTATTAAACAAGTTGCAAATGTTGCACTTGGGGAATCAAAAGGAAAAATTTCTATAAATAAAAATAATTTATGGTGGAATAATAATGTAAAAAAAAAAGTTTAAGCTATATTGTAAAAATTGGTTTAAATATAAAAACTTAAAGAACTGGAAAAATATAAAATGACTCGTAAGGAGTCTAAGGGAACAATTTGTGATGTTAAAAATTCTATTTTTAGTGTTCTTTATAATATATTAGATACTAAAGGGAGTGAAAATTATATATATAAACTAGCTAAACAAAGAGAAAAGAAAAGTAAAGATTTAACTCAAGTAAAGTGTAGATAAAAAATCAAAAAGTATTTTTCTTAAAACTATATATTCAAGATAGTTAGGTGAGTTATTTTGATAAACTTTTCAATGAAGTTTCTAAAAATACTATTGACCTTAGTAATCCTAATATCGTTAATAATAATAAGATGTTTCATTTTTATCGTTATACAAGTAAAAAAGAAGTTAAAGAGGCTTTAAAAATAATCGAGCGTGGAAAGTCTGTAGGACTTGATGATATCCCAATTGAAGTATGTAAATATTTAGAAGATTTGAGAGTTTATTGGCTTACTAAACTCTTTAATATTATTTTAAAAATTAAAAAGATGCCTGTTGAGTGAAGGAAGGGTATTTTGGTTCTTAGTTTTAAGAATAAATGTGATGTACAAGTGTCTGCAAATTATAGAAGAATTAAGTTGATATGTCATACTTTAAAATTATGGGAGATGGTAATTGAGGGTAGGTTGTATTACAAAGATTTCTCATAATGAATTTGGATTTATGTCAGACATGTCTGCTATGGAAGCTATAAATTTATTGAGAGGTTTAATGGAGAAGTGCATAGTCTGCATTTGATTTTTATTGATTTATAAAAAAACTTATGATAAGGTTGCAAGAGATATCTTTTGGAGAGTGCTAGAGAAGAAATGTGCTGATATGACATATATTCAAGTCATTAAAGATATGTATACTAGAGTAGTTACTTGGTTACTTGTGTTCGAACAGTGTGTTCGAACAGAAGGATTGGCCAAATATTTTCCTATTTCAGTTGGATTACAATAGGGACCGGCTTTAAACCAATACATTTTTGCTCTAGTTATGGATGCTTTTAGTGGACATTTATAGGAGGTTGTACCTTAGTGTATGTTTTTCGCTGATGATATCATTCTTATAGATAAGACTAGAGAAAGAGCTCAGGAGAAATTTGAATTATGGAGGTCCACTTTGGAGTCTAAAGACCTTCATTTGAGTAGAACTAAAACTGAATACAAGAATATAATTTTAGTAGTAGTAGCTCTAGTGACATAGTTGTAACTATGGGTGATCAAATTATTAAAAGGTGTGAATGTTTTAAATATCTTGGGTCTATTGTTCAAAATGATGGTGATATAGATTGGGATGTTATTAGTAGAATTCAAGCTGGTTGGTTGAAGTGGAGGACTGCTTTGGGCACATTGTGTGATAGAAAAGTAACACTTAGACTGAAAGGAAAATTTTATAAGATGGTGAGACCTGCAATGCTCTATGACATAAAATGTTGGCCTTTAAAAGAGAAGCATAAAACTAAGTTAAGTGTTGCCGAAATGAGAATGCTTAGGTGGATGAGTGGCTTTACACTTAGAAACAAATTGCGAGATGAAAGGGTTGGTGTAGCTCCAGTGGCGAACAACACTAGAGAGAGTCGTCTTAGTTGGTTTGGTCACATTAAATATCGACCATCTGATGATCCAGATAGGAGAGTAGATGTTTTAGGTTTGATTTATATTAAGAAAGGCAAAGTTAGACCTAGAAAGACTTGGGCATATTGTATAAAAAATGAACTTAATTTATTAGAATTAAATGACAATATGGCACTCAATAGGACGCAATGGAGAAAAAGGATTCATGTAGCCGACCCCACGAACTGGGATAAAGGCTTGTTGTTGTACATTTTCATATTATTTTATCTTGCCCTTTTCTGGTGCTTGGTATTTCGTCATCTTCTTTCCTTTTCTCTTGTTGATGTTTTGAAGAAGTGCTTCCAAGTTGTTAAAATTTTGATATATTTTTTCGCTCGTGTTGCTTAAATGATGAGTAATAGGAGACGTAACTTCTAGGAGTTGGTAGCTGCCATCTCATATGCTTAAGGGGCTTCATATTCCTCTTTTGAAGTAAAAAATTAGGGACGATTTAGATACATACCATCCAGTCTTATGTGTTTACATATATAACGCCTAAATTTTAAATTTTACATAAAAACCAGTTTACTCATGCTTGAAAATGTGTATTTCACTTTTTAAAAGTTCAAATGTTGGTACTTTTTGACGTGACATGAAAGATTTGGTTGGTATAGATCTAAAAAGTAAAATTTTAGTGTTAGATATGTATTTACATAGGAATTAAGTGGTATGCATGTAAATGCCCCTAAAAATTATTTGCTAAGGCTATTCATATTGAATTATCGGTAATACTCCTTTGAACCTATTATGGAGAAAATGGCTGCATAGATAGTGCTAAACATAACAGTGGATATCTTATTCACTGTATTCTTCTATAATTTATATAGTTATTTCATTAGCCTTACCACAACTTTTTATGAAATATTCAGTCTTTTATAGAATGTCAAACGTTCAAATTTAAATTTTCATATTCCTTTCACCAAATCGTGTTCTGTTTTCTTTTTGCCTGTAATGTGTAGTCAGTTTAAACTTTTTCACTTCTGTTCATCTTCCTTCATGGTCACACTGAAGAAAAACTGCTGTTTTTCTCTGCTGCTGCAGATTAGAGCTTTACATCAAAGAGTCTGTTAATAAACTTCTGCCGAACGAATCATGGCAGGCTTATCATGTGGCGACAGAGGCGAAGCTTTTAGGTAGAGGAGAAGTGGCGGTCAGGACAATTGGCGGCAAGGGGGGACCTGGGGAAAGCTTCGCGAGACTGGCGGGATCGGCCGGTTAGGGCTCGCGAGCGATCGAAGGGGTGGAAGAGGAGTCAGGCTCGGCTGAAGGAGGGGAAGGCTCGGTTTTCGAAATGGGGGAGTTGGCTTGGAGTATGTGTGAGTTAATTAGGTATTTTTTTTTTTAATGTTCAATATTTAAAATTTTACGATTCGCGCACTATTCGCCCCTGCACGGAACCATCTCAAAATGGGATTCCTTTCTAGGTGAATTTGACGCGCCAGACGCGTCGACGCAGTCCATTTCATCATCTGGGGTCGTTCGGACAATCTCGTCGATGATCAAGTCAAAAATGTGTCGAATTCAATTTTTCTAAAATTGAAGGGTTTGCTATCGTTTGTTTTGAAAATTAATTTTTGTTTCGATTAACTATCAAACCTATAAAGGCGTAGGTGATGTAAATTGTGATAATTAAACGAGTTGACTATCCGAATTGAGAAATTTGTCTGCGCAAAGGTCTAAATTGTGCATAAGACAATCCTAGGGCTTAATGGTTCTATAGGGACTCCTTTTGAGTTCCTTCATGCTGGTTTCAACCTCCTAAGTGCTAGAGGTCAAGAACCACACATGCGGAACTCCAAAAGAGTAAAGAAGTGGTTTGGACTTCTAAAATGATGTGGGTCTTATTACTAAGGCTCTGAGATAGTCAAAGAGAGAATTCTAAGGCTATACCCTAAACCCTAATAAAATGATACTGGTTTCAACCTCCTAAGTGCTAGAGGTCACCTCCTAAGTGCTAGAGGTAGAGGTCAAGAATCACACATGCGGAACTCCAAAAGAGTAAGGAAGTGGTTTGGACTTCTAATATGATGTGGGTCTCATTACTAAGACTCTGAGATAGTCAAAGAGAGAATTCTAAGGCTAGACCTTAAACCCTAATAAGAAAACTAGACCTCGCTAAAAATGTGGTCAAGAGGCTATTGATATTGAATTATCATTAATATTCCTGTCAACTCATTATGGAGAAAATGACTGCATAGATAGTGCTAAACATAACCCTGGATATCTGATTCACTGTATTCTTCTTTAATTTATAAAGTTATTTCATTAGCCTTACCACAACTTTATATGAAATATTCAGTTTTTGATAGAATGTCAAACGTTCAAATTTAAATATTCATAATCCTTTCATCACATCATGTTCTGTTTTCTTTTAGCCTGTAATATGTAGTTATTTTGAAGTTTTCACTTCTATGCATCTTCCTTCATGTTCACACTGAAGAAAAACTGATGTTTTTCTCTGCTGCTGCAGATTAGAGCTTTATATCAAAGAGTCTGTTAATAAACTTCTGCCGAGCGAATCATGGCAGGCTTATCTCGTCGTTTGATTGCCTGCTTACAAACTGGAAAGCTTGCTCTTTTAGCAATTATGGTAGCATCTGGAATTGTGTTGCAGGTTTTGGTTAGTAATCTCCTCTGTAAATATTTATGCAAGCCTTTCCTACTTTCTGAAGCTAAAAATTGAGAAAATTATCAAAATAGTCCCCGAGGAGACTATTTTAGCCCATATTAAAATAGTTTAGGGACTAATTGACACTTTTATGACCTATGGAACTAAAATGACACAATATAAATATTCAAAAGATTATTTTGATACTATACTCACTAAAAATTTGTCTTTTCCTGTTTTAGTCCCTTTTATTTCCATTATGATATTGCAGGCTTGTGCTGTATACAACAACTGGTGGCCCATGCTAACAGGTAACTGTTGTTACAGGGATTATCGTTTGATAATTATTGGGGATATTATTGATGATTAGGAATATTAATCTTCTGTTTATTCTACTGCAGCTGTAATGTACGTAATTCTCCCAATGCCTCTCCTATTTTTTGCGGGTTCTGATAGCTCCTCGCTAATGTCTGGCGAGTCAGACAGGTCAGTTGACTTTTCAAGTATTAAATGAATGGCATGAATGATCTGCTTTTAATATGTATAGAAACTCGTTTGTATTCTCTCCTGATTCACATAACTCCTCGGCCTTTATATTCTATTTGTCTAATTCATGTATCACTTAGTTGTTTTTTTTGTTTTGCTGAGAAAGGAATGTGGAGTAAAAAGAATGCAGCGAAAAATAAATATTGTGAATTAAAAGTAAATGTAGTTATTTGAATTAATACATTGATTGGCGACGGCGGACGGCGGGCTGCAAGCGGCTATAGCCAAAATTTTACATAAATGGTGTATTATAATTATAAAAAAATTAAACAAATGTCAAATACATTAAAATTAAAGTAGAGAGAGAATTTCAAATGCACAAAATGTCGAAATAGTCCCCTGACCATTTGCATGGGGGTAATTTTAGTTCTAAAGTTTATAAAAATGATAACTTAATCCGGGACCTTTTTAATAGTGGCTGAAAAAGTCCTCTGTGAAGACTATTTCTCATCCCATATTAAAAGTGCATGGGACTAACTTAGCATTTTTATAAACTCTAGTACTAAAATGGTCCATGGAATGTTAATTATTTTGACACTTTACTCATTTAAATTTACTCTATTTTATTTTTCTATGACCAAACATTAAGGGCTTGTTTGGGATCTCTTTGTTTTTGTTTTTATTTTAAAAACATATTTGTTCATCATCTTTTGAGCTATTATTATAATCTAAATTTGCACATTTACCAACTTATTTATCCTATAATTCTTAATATAACTTCGTTGTTTTTTTCTCTTTTCTTGCTTATATATCAGCGCATAGTTTTCTATTGCTTTCCTTATTCTAACATAAAGCCAAAACTATTTAAACATTGTGCGCAGCTGGGTTGATTTTACTAAGTTTCTCACTGGCGCGTCTATTGTTGGAAGCATCGCCATTCCTTCCATATTAAAGCATGCAGGCATCATCTGCTTGGGAGCTCTGTTAATGGAGCTCTCTTCCTTTCTGATCTTTGGTTTAGCCATTCTTTTGTTCTTGGTAATAAACCGAGAGGATGATTACAGTATGTTCTGAGAATTTCATGGTCATGACTGTTGTGTAAGTTCGCTATTTTTTTTAATAATTTATCGGTACAGAGCAGCTGGCACTTTGCTTTATTTCCTTTAACATCTACTCTGGGGCTTTTTATAGGGAGATTTACATATGTCTTAGAAATCTTATTTATTTACATATGTAACATCTATAACACTCAAATCTTTAACATCACTTTAAGAATATAAAGTTAAGTATATGTTTTCATGCATAAATTTTGATGTGATGGTGAGACTAGAATGTTATAAGCGTAAAAAATATCATTTTTTTTATGCTCGACATGTAAATAGATGAGAATTATATGGTATGCGTGTAAAATTTTCTTTGTTTTTGTGGATTGTATTGCGCAGTCATATTTTTTATCATTCTGGTTTGATAGCTCTGTGCTGTTTATAAAACATGGATGATTTGTATATTGTTTTAATGATTTCATTTTCCCTTCATTTTTCCATCAACCATACGGGTTTTGTTTGAGGTTGCTACAACTATTTTGAAAAAATATAAGGCCCATTTACGTACATGCCACCCAATTCCTATGCATTGCGTATCTAATACTTAAATTTTGCTTTTTTACATTTATAACATTATTGATTTCTTTATAGGACCCAATGTCCCCTAATATTTGTGAGTACGCACAACTAGGTAAAAGACCATGCGTCAAGCCATGAGTACCCCAAGAGAGAGAGAGAGAGAGAGAGAGAGAGCGAGAAGAGAATGATCCAGAGAATAAAGATCAGGATTAGAATCCGAATGAGGAAGGAAATCTAGATCCAAATGTGGGGAAAAAAGGTCATTGGCTCCTTATTTCTCCCCATTTTATACATGTCAGAGAAGAAGATCATATACTAATCTCAATAGTACACCTCATATTGTATTATTATCCTTTTCCTTTTATCTTGATAGGAAATTGATGTCGTAGTCCTGACATATAGTCGGATAATGTCAGAAATGGCCGGTACGATGAGTATCCACGGTATCTGAGTGATGTGACCAAAACCCTAGTATCGAACGACATATTTATGAGAGGACGGGTGCACAGGATGTCCAGGGCGGTCTCCTCGTATGGTCGTCTTAGCTGGGATAGATTTAAGCTGCATTGTTGAGAAATATGAGGCATGAGAGGATCCATCGTTTCAACATGTGAGATCAATTCAACCATTTTGACGAAAGCGATTGATTCAACCTCTTCAGCAGGCGGACTCAATTGGACCACTTCAGTAGGGGGCCAATTTGGAGAGATAGAATATGTTTTTCTAAAATTCCTGTATACGGATACTTGTTTATATATTTAGTTTCACAATTTTCCCATTTCTTCGATTGAGCTTTCACAAGAAGAATGAGAGAATGAAGATTGCTCTGTTATTAAGACCATGGAGATGAGGATGAGACTAATCTCCAGAATGAGTTTCGTTTTCCTAGACAGCTCATCGGTATGTCTTGCGAAGAATTGAATTTTTTTATGCATCAACAATTCTCCAGGACTGACACACCTGGAGGGGCATATCGTGGTTCTCTTTTTAAGGAGTAGTCCCTGGTATTACATTTATGATTTATAGAATCTGGATTTTTCGACGAGTACCTCTGACTTTCCCTCAAAAAAAGGTTTTATTCTGACTTCACCTATCCTATCTCTCGGACTTGCTCTGTATCCGGGTCTTCGGTTGTTAAGATCTAGTACTGTTTCATGAGATAAGTTCTAAAGTTTGGTTTGGGGATATAAAGAACATTAATGATGAAATTTACTCGAACTTAAATAACTGTATTCCCTTTGGGGTTATATATATATTGCTGTGCCAAAACGGAAGTTGGAGCCCTGTGCGTCTACTTCGCCGGGATCTTTCCTTTCGAAGAGGGATCAAAAGCTTTTTTCCATTGTAAGTAAGATACAATTTTTGCTCGGTTTGGTGTCAGTTATCCTTCGTCGTAGAGAACAATAGACAAATCTGCAATTGGAAGCAGAAACTTGGTTGTCTTCAGAAGAGAGATTCTGAAAAAGCCTCAAAGAGGCACTTGAACTTGTGGCAAGTGGTTCCATTCCTCTATAAAATCGCAATGTATTACAGTGGGGTCCACTTGCCTCGTGTAAGTGCTCACAAAAAGTGGAACAAATATTATGTCCGGACTCCGGACATGGACTACGAACATAAAGATACATCATGAGTCCAATAAAATCACACTACGTAGAGGTGACAGAAAAATAAAAAAATTTCGTTTTAGCACAAGGAAATATTTCCCTTGTTATTTCACATTATTAGGTATTATTGTGGTAGTATTCATGTATGATTATTCTCGGTGTTGTAATAACACAATAACACATCAATACTATCACAACAACACCTGAATAAATGAAATAATACGGGAGAAATATTCCTCTGTGTTATCGGGCCGGTTTAAGGAAAAAAAGTTTTTTTTTTTCCTGTCAGTTCCGCGTGAAGGTGATTCATTGGACTCCGGAAGTATCTCAACGTCCGGACGTAATATTTTTTTTTCCAAAAAGTGTCCTTGGATTTGAACAATTCGGTGGAAACTCTTCCTCTCGTCTTGCCAATGAAACTAGAACCATGTCCTCCGTTGGCCTTAGCCGGTGTTGATTCGAGTTTGTCTAGTGAGGCTTTTCCTTTTGACTTGGTTTTCTGTCTCCTTGCTCTCGTTGAATACAGCGGCTTATTTTTTTAAGAGATGTCTGCGAGGGAACTTGAAGCGGGCAGGGTGCTGTTCGGTTTAGTTCAAAATAAATCTAGGGAAATTTACACAAATACCCCATAATTCTTATATGTGTATGTATCTAATGCCCAAAGTTTGATATTTACACTCTGAACATGTTGGTTTCATTAACCCATGCATTAAAAAATATATTTCACTTTTAAAAACATAGTGATGGTAAATATATAAGAATTGTGCAGTATGTATGTAAATGCCAAATAAATCAAATGCACATACCACTTTCTTCCTGTATCTACATATCAGACGTTGTATATATGTGCACATACCACTTTCTTCCTGTATCTACATATCAGACGTATATATGTGCTTATGTTGCTACATCACATAACACGTGGCTTTTGTCAACAGATATGTGAGGGCGTTGCCTACGGTTAAAATTGAATGTAATATCGTCACATTTATTAAAAGAATTACATTACAAAACCCTTAAATTATTTTATTACAATCAGACATTTTTTTTACTTGTGTTATATTTCAATAACACCTTTCTATTAAAATTTAAACCATTTGTCTTAAATTGTTATAACTACATTGGAATTTAGTGAATGTATGTAAATATCTCAAAATTTATCAAGAACACAATAAGATTGAATCTATTGTCTAAAATGATGAACTAACTACATGTTTTTACTGAAAAATGAATTCAAAAAAAAAAAAAAATCAGATTTCATGTAATTAAAAAAAAAGGATTTGAACTTGGCATATTTTGAGTGAGAGGTGCATTATGGAGCATACGATAGTCGCTCCAGAGGGAAAACCCTAACCTACTGCATGCAACATCGATGGTATTTATGGCCATCGCTCCTGAAAGATGTCAATAATGTCAAAAATACACCCTTTTATTTATCAGCTTGCTTCGTAGCTACAACAAATAGTTAGTCCTTCGTCATTCGCCTTGTGGGGACTACATATTCTAGGGTCGTTTCTTTCGTAAAAAAGCCAAAGTAAGTTCCTTGTGGTAGCGGTCGACTATTTTTCAAAATGGATCGAAGCAAAACCACTCACTTAAATCAATGTGGTGGCTTTCCATAACGTCATATGACCCGATGTGGTCTTCAGATAAGTTATGCCACTCATCATCATCATATATAATATAACCCAATTCATAGACCAAGGGATTGATTTGAAGTTCACTTCGGTCTATCACCCTACGACGAACGAGCAGCCCGAGGCAGCTAACAAACTTATCTTGAACCTGCTGAGGAAGAAGGTTGAAGGAGCTAGGGGAAATTGGGCGGACCTATTGCCCTCGGTGCTTCGGGAGATTTGAACGACACCATCTTTGCTGACCGGACGAACTCCGTTCACGCTGACCCATGGAATAGAGGTTGCACTACTGGTTGAATATGATCATCACAGCCAATGGTCGTTCCAACCTCCTTGTTCGTTGAAGACGAATCGGTCGAGTGTCAGCATACTAACATTGAAAAGGCAATGCTAGCCCTAAACCTTGCATAAGAAACTTGAGCCCATTTGGCGTTCCGACAAAAGATTAAAAGACGAACCGTCCGTTATTTCGACAAAACAAAAAAGCACATATAAAAGTTTTATATCACATATAAAAATAACATCACTTAATGGCTTCAAAGGAAAAATAAAATATATTAACTTTAAAATCCGGATGTAATTCTATATCCGGGCACCACAAAAATTTACATTGTATTTATTATACGTGTAAAGAAAATATAAGATGGGCATGTAAATGAACATGTGAATCGTACTAGGGGTTTCTAAAAATGATTATCCCCGACAATGAAACAAGATTCTCGGACCGAGGGAAGAATTTCTATGTCAACCAAGGGATTGATTTGAAGTTCACTTCGGTCTATCACCCTACGACGAACGAGCAGCCCGAGGCAGCTAACAAACTTATCTTGAACCTGCTGAGGAAGAAGGTTGAAGGAGCTAGGGGAAATTGGGCGGACCTATTGCCCTCGGTGCTTCGGGAGATTTGAACGACACCATCTTTGCTGACCGGACGAACTCCGTTCACGCTGACCCATGGAATAGAGGTTGCACTACTGGTTGAATATGATCATCACAGCCAATGGTCGTTCCAACCTCCTTGTTCGTTGAAGACGAATCGGTCGAGTGTCAGCATACTAACATTGAAAAGGCAATGCTAGCCCTAAACCTTGCATAAGAAACTTGAGCCCATTTGGCGTTCCGACAAAAGATTAAAAGACGAACCGTCCGTTATTTCGACAAAACAAAAAAGCACATATAAAAGTTTTATATCACATATAAAAATAACATCACTTAATGGCTTCAAAGGAAAAATAAAATATATTAACTTTAAAATCCGGATGTAATTCTATATCCGGGCACCACAAAAATTTACATTGTATTTATTATACGTGTAAAGAAAATATAAGATGGGCATGTAAATGAAGATGTGAATCGTACTATATCATATATTTTCTTGTACATGTTATACGCTATAGCTCAATGTATTTTATGCAGAAATCCCAACTTAAATACTCTGAAGGCAGAGACATTCCCTATAAACGAGAAACTATTACGTCAAAATACCATATGTGCAGATTGATTATATTGCACACAATATCATCATAAATACTATTGAAGACTATAATATCTGATGATATTTGAGTGATATATAATTTATTAAATTAAAATATGATGACAATACTACCACAAATACTACCCGGCCACACAGAATCCAATCTCATTGGCAATATTTTCTCCTTATAAATAAGCATGCAGGTTACATGGAAGGTATTGAAGATTATATCTATATTATAACTCATGTAACCTTCTTTTACACGTAACTTAAGAATATATGAAACAGAAACACCAAATTAGTTATAGGTAGGATAGTAGCCTATAGTTTATACTTTATATCCCACAGATATAACCCCAATACCCGACGTACGCAAATATTTCTGGTCTCTTCGGCCATCGCCGATCATAGAGCGAGCGATCTACACTTTCTCCGGCGATGCCTTCTCCTCCTCCTCCTACTCAGTTGGCAACGAGACGGGCTAAGGTGGAGAAGCTGGGCAGCAAGTCACCGCCGTTCAAGATTCTTGGAGAGCCGTCTTCGACTTTCTTTCCTTCGAGGGGAGAAATACTGAAGCTTCTCCTCGTCGTATTCATCGCTGCTTCCGTCGCGGTTGCCTGCAATTTCATCTCTGGTATCATCAGCCGCCCCACTAAGCCTTTCTGTCATAGCGGCCTGGACTCTGGGGATCTAGGTCAACCCTCCCTCCTTTGATCCTTCTTCATTTTTGTAATTCTCGAATTGGTTTATTTGATAGGGTTTGTTTATTGAAGTGTTAAGTCTAAACTGTTTGCGCAGTAATTGCTTCGGTTCACTACGTGACCCGCTGATTTCTCATTCCGTTTGGTTTTTTTTTTTTTTCTCCTCTCTTTTTTCGATGAATCGATCGTTTGGTTCTTTGACATGTTGGGCGTTTACATAACAAATACTTTGATGACTAAAATAACTGAGGTAATTGGAGACAATAACACTGAAATGGAAAAAAAAAAACATAAATTTTGTGGACATTCTGATAACATTGTACATCTAATATCATTTGAGGGACGGTGGGGCTTAAGGGAAACGTAATTTTACCATTTGAAGTGCCGTGAGCTAGAAAATGTCATTTTTTTTGTTAAATTTCAGTTAAGAAGACGTTCTTGATCCTAAAATGTTTTCACGGACATAGAAAACTAACCTGAAATGTAACAGGGCCACCAGAGGATTATCCTTGGGAAGTTCGTTCAACACTAAGCCTGCAACAGAAACCTAAATTTGACTTATAAATGACACAAATCTTAACTGACTGTGGGAGTATTTCTGTACCTTGGGATTCTTGCAGTGGATGGATCAGCCTTGTTACCTCTTATATCAAAGCTGGACCAAAGTGCTCTTTGATTGAGGCATTTTAGTCCTTTATTCGATCATCTTAATGGAGATCTTAATCAAACAATTAGACTTTGGTCTATGGCTGTTTGAAGTGGATGGTTGGATTTGCTAGAATCTTGGTAGGAATTTTGAAACGATCTAGTAATTTGGGAGTTAGAAGAGCCTTCATTTTTTTAGAGCCTCATTGCAAGAAGATTATTTGAGCTAGAATCATGACATTCTTTATCAAACTGTTGGGTTAATTGAGCTATTTTTTAAGATTATATCCTAAAAATTTCTTAAAGAGAGTCGTCTTGGATGGTTTGGTCACATTAAATGTTGACCATCTGATGTTCCGGTCAGGAAATAAAATAAGAAATGGAATGCTCAGGCTATTATAAGGAGATGGCTCCCCTGGAATTATGCAGTATCATTTGTAGTATATCGAAGGAATCGCGCATCAACTTTCACTCGTTAGATTGAAAATGGAGAGTGAATTTTTATTCAAACAAAAGTTAAAAGTTATATTCTTTAGAGCTACTATGTATCTCAAAAGATAATAATCAATGTTGAATTTTTTAATTTTTAACTCTAATCCTATGTTTATGTAATCTTATAAAACAATGCTGGATTCAACAGCCACCACCATACTATTCAACACAAAATCACTGCTCACTGCTCTTACCATGTGAGATAAATAAATTATTCACCAACCCAAACAACCAAATAATTTCCGAGTCCCACTGCCAAACGGAGATGGAACTAGTGTAATGCAACACCGTGTCAAACTCTTTAGTAAATTTTGACCAGTTATTTATATGTTTTTGTGAATTGAAAAATACAGAAATGCAGATTTCTGTTATATCTCATTTTCAATGTGTGCTGATGTGACAGATATTTGTGAACCTTGTCCTGCGTGGGGATGGTGTTCTAATGGCAACCTGGAGTGCTTGCATGGCTACAAGAAGCAAGGAAGAATATGTATAGAAAATGGGCAACTTCACCAAACAGCTAAAAAATTAGTGAGTCTATTATTTTATTCCAGTTACTGCAAATAAATCTAAAAAAAAAGAAACAAATCAAATGATAATAGATTTGTAGCTTTGAGTAGCATTTTTAAAAATACACAAAAACTTTTATTCTACAGAAAAAGCTCACCTGAAGGGCATAACAAAGGCATGCTCTGAAGGTTTAAACTACATGCTTTCCAGGAATGAACTCCATCTGTACAAGCTATTATTTTACAATGCAGTCAATAATTAAATTTAAGATTTGTCTGGCATCTATTACTCGTAGTCTCTTGTTCAACCATGTTTAATGCTTTGATCTTATGATTGCTTTTTTGTACATCTCCAGTTTTCATTGTGTTCTTCATTATCATATACTTTTAACTGTTATTTTTTTCTAATTAAATTTAATATACATGTAGAAGTGTAGACTTCTCTATTTCTTATTTGTTACTAATGTTTTGTAACTTGTATAATTTTATATTCTTTTTTCCTTAATACTTATCCGGTGGAATGATGTCATTCATGCACAAGTGTATTTCTTATTTGAGTTATCCAGCATATTGCGTAGTTCTCATGTCTCAATAATATCAGTACTCTATTTAGTTGGACTTATTATGCATTTAATTTGAGTTAATGGAATTGTTTTGTTGAACATTTCTAAATGTTTTTGTATATAAACATAAATGGAATGTCCAAATAGTTTTAGTAAGCTGAATCTAAATGAACTATGAACGGAATGCACTTTTGTATTAAAAGTTAAAGCACCACTTTGCTTCACAATTTTAAGCACCCCAAAAAAAAACTATCCTTGATATTATGTGTTGTCTTGGAAACCCTAAGAAAAGCCATGTACACCATTTAGCGTGCTTTTAATTTGTTATTACTTTTGGAACATGCAGTTGAAGGTGCTAGAAGATGATGTTTGCGGTTCTCATGCTCAAGCCTTATGCAACCGAACTGGGAAAATTTGGGTCCGTTATCTTGATAAACCTCATGGTTTTGATGCAACTTATTTACAGAACTTCTGGTATTAAAATTATCTCTTGTTTATTGCCTTGTATGTAATTTAAGATACTGTTATTGAAAAAACCTACATGAATCTATTTATAATTCTGATATCTAATACTTCAGTTTGAAGAAGGTGATGTTATGAAAATATTGGATGATCACAAAGCAAGAGAGAATATTCAAATTGAAGACGATACTTATAAACTTGCAGTACATATGGCTTTGGAGACTGTTCAAGGCATTCTTGAGAAGAAGGAAGATTCAAATGGGTAACTACTTGTTCTTCTTTCATCTAAATTAACTACAGACTGATACTATTGATGGAGAATATGGCTCGTGTTGCCACCTTTTGTGCTTGGTCTACAGGAGCAAGGAATATAAGTGTCCTCAACTGCTAGCTGAACTTTACAAACCTCTTGATTGCTGCATCCGTCAGTGGATATACAGACATATTTCACTGGTTACAGGGTTTTTGATAATTGTAAGATAAAGAAACTGATCTCTTTAATATATATTTACAGTGTTACTGTCATTATTTATAAACTTATTTAGTAGTTTGATATTGTTTCCGTTTCTGCAGGTCTTATGTATGACAAGGTTTTTTTGGATCGAACATCGGAAACAGATTGTGTCTATCAGAGCTGAAAAACTTTATGAGGAGGTATGGGTGATTGCAGACTTTGGTTCTTCGATTACACCTTTTTTGTCCTATTTTACATGGTTGTCCATTCAATTGTATATGAGTTCTCACAGTGATCTTTAAGTAGGAAATATTTTTCCCTGTACATGCTGGGAAAGATGGCATGCTTTGGTGCCGGCTTAAAAGAAGGGAAAATGTAAGCACTGAAGAAATGAGTAGTAAACATGGCTTTTTAGGGAAAATGTAAGCACGGAAGAAATAAGTAGTAGTAAACATGGCTTTTTTTATTTCTTTTGGGGCTTTGACATAAGTACGTCAGAATTCTTATGTATTTACATATCTAACTCCTAATATTTTACATTTACATTTATAACACTTAAAACTTTAATATCACATCAAAACTACCACGATTATTAACCTTTTTAAATTGAAATACACCTTTTCATTCATAGGTTTTTTGACCCCAAAGTTTTATAAGGGTAAATAAAAAACTTTAGGTGTTTGGTATGTAATTACATAAGAATTCTGGGTATGTATGTAAATTTCCCTTTCTTTTTCTACTAGCAGGATCTACTTACAGTTGGCTCTTTTCGTAGCTCTTTTGTTTCTTGTAACCAGGACCTGTAGTTTTCAGTTGTATGCTGAAAGTGGAAGCTTTGTTGGGCTTATCTGTGTTAGAAATGGTTTATGTATTGATGCCAAGATTCATGATTGTAATGTCGAGTTTGCTGAGGGGATAACTTGGTTAATGTCATACCTCACTCGCTGTGTAGTTCAATATATGTTAATAGTTAATTTTTTACTCAATTTTTAATTGCTTTTTTTCCCATTTCATTGCTCTTTAGGTTGTATGAAGGTATTGTTGCCACTACTAACACAGGCCAATATTGTTAATTCTACCCTTAAAGTTTTTGTTCATAATTTTTTCAAGCGTCACCCTAGTATCAGGTTTTTTTGCTTTTCATGTTTTTTGGGACGTTTACAGTAATACCACACAATTCTTATGCATTTACATGTCTAACACCTAAACTTTTATATTTACATACATAACACTTAATTATTTAATATCACATAAAAAAATACCATAATTACTTCTTAAAATTGAAATTCACCTTTTCATGCATAGGATTTTGATACCAATGTGTAATAAATATGAATATCAAACTTAGGCGTTTGATATGCAAATACATAGAAATTGTGTGGTATGCATGTAAATTTCCCTTTTTTTTTCTTCGGCTGGAAATTTCGTGTGTTGTTTGTATGGTAGTCAATTTGAAGCTCATACTTGAATGTGTAATCCTTTGAGATTTGTTTCTGGCCTTTTTTTTTTCTCGTTTAATTCTTGCACTGATATAAGAGTTTCTCTTCGTGTATTCCAATTTTCCTCCTTTGTAGGAGGCCTCAGCATTTATGTGCTGGAATATAATTTATTTTGTTCTGAGCAGAAGGGCTTTATTGTATTAGGTTTGTGAAATCCTTGAGGAGAATGCTATGACAGCAAGAATAAGAAATGAAGGAGAGCCTTGGGTGGTTGCCTCTTGGTTAAGAGACCAGCTACTGCTACCGAGGGAAAGAAAGGACTACACATTATGGAAAAAGGTATTATCATCCTATGAATAGTTCCAAGTTAAATCTAACTTTTGAGAAGAATTTATCTTTTGTTTATGTTTTTGGCGTTTTTTGCTAGAAAATGACGTTTCATTGTTTTGAGCATGCCGTTTAGTTGATTAATCAACTTTTTTGACATTGTTCTTATGTTTTTTTTCTGACAGTATTGGTTTACATTTTGATTATAGGAATCACAGAGAAATAAAGATCATTTAGTAACCATGGTTCTTATAGAATTGCATTTGTAAAATTAGAAAGATCTATATCTATAATGAAATTTAAAATCTTTCAACGACCTGAAATTGCTGTTGAGCTTGAGATAAATATTTTAAAGATATTTACATCCATTTCACAGAATTCTTATCTATTTACATATATAACACCTAGACATCATATTACATATAAACCACTCAAATTTTAACATTACATCAAAATTACCACCATTACTATCTTCTTAAAAGTGATGAACTTTTTTATGTATAAGTTTATGACATCAAGATATTATAACTATAAATATCAAACTTTGGATATTAGATCTGTAAGTACGTAAGCATCGCATTGTATGGATGTAAATTTCCTAATATTTTAAGCATTATGAAATCCACAATTTAAGCTCTTCTATTTTTTTTCTTTTTTTTTTTGCTATTGTTGGAACTATTTTGAAATTTTCTCAAAAACTAACAAGGATGTGATTTTGAATGGCCAACGTTGATTTTAGTGTAAAATATCCAACAAATATGAAGACCTGTTGGCCAAAAAATAATCCTTTTTTAGCGTTTTACTAATTAAAAGCAACTGCAATTTCGTTTTATGTTCCTCTCTTAGGTTGAAAATTTGATCCAAGAGGACTCTCGCATAGATCAATACCCAAGACTGATCAAGGGAGAATCCAAAATTGTCCAAAACTGTGCTAGAATGGCAAGGTGAGCTTTCCATTTTTTAATCTCTCTGTCGTTTGTTCGCTAGGATTAGCAATGATTTTCATTAATCGAATATTGTAAAAGTCAATTCCGGTACAGTGCTAGAATGGCAAGGTGAGCTTTCCATTTTTTAAGTCGCTAGGATTAACAATGATTTTTATTAATCGAATATTGTAAAAGTCAATTCCGGTACAATTATGTTTTTAACATTTTAATGGGGTAATTATGATTTATTTCTTTATATAATATATAGTTTCTAGAGATCTGGGACGCTATGAAATAGGTTTTTATATACAATTTTGATTATTGGAAAAATAAAATGTTTCTTCTGTCCTTGAAAAAAATGATAAAAAGGGTATTTAATATTATATTAAAAGCCTGGTCAAAATATATAAATGAGCATATATAGATGAATATGAATGAAAAGATAAATTAGTATGAGTTGCTCTTTGGATCATCAATACTTATTTTTTTAGTAAAGTAAATATTCTTAGATATTAATGCATACCTTGAAATGAAAGCATAAAATTGGCTTATTTATACATTGAAGTTGAAATTGAATGTTCTGTAATTCAAAGTAAATCAAAATAAAATTGTATAATTTTACTTTTATTCATGCTTTTCATCTCTATGGTGAATTTGAATTAATTCAAGAGGGTGAAAAATGTGATAATCCCATGTGCATTTACATACATACCATCCAATTCTGATGTATGTGCATATCTAACACCTAAACTTTACTTTTTGTCTTTCATTTCACCTGATAGTGATCATTCCTTCTATTATTTGCAGCTGATGGTGCTCTAAGTTCCAGAATGAAGGCTAAGAAAACTAATAAAAAGACTGATAAATTCCGCAGCCAAGCAGACGAACTTTGTAGAAATCAAGAGCTGCTTCCACAAATATAAAACTCTTATGAGGCAGCCGTCTTGTTATGCCACTCAAAAAACACTACTCCCATGCTTCTATGTATCTTAATTAACTATACATTTTGTTTATATTTCTTTTATACTATGCGTGAGTGCCTTTTGGGGGGAAATATTTGAGTCCAAAATACGCACGCAGAGCTGTGTGCGTAATATCCTTCGTTTTGCGGTTATTAGGGTTATTGGGAGGTTATTGATGCATTATTTCTAATAACTTATAATCCTAATAACCTTCTAATAACTTTCACGGGTTATATTTTGATGTTATTCGTAGGTTATTATGAAGTTATTGCAAGGTTAATGCAATACGCACGTAGAATTGCATGCAAATCAAATATTTTCCGTGGGAAATATTTGCAAAATTTTCTTTTGTTTTGTGCCCTTTTTTCAATGTTAAATGACTTTGCTGCTGTGTAATGCATTGAAAGAGGGTTTTTCATTTGCTAGAATGTGATCTGTGAGAATATTTTTATCTAATATAAAAAAAATGATATATTCACAGCAGTTTTTAGAATTTTATTTTTTTATAATAATCAGGGCTTAATATGTAAATAAGAAAACTAAAAAAAAAACTCTAATTGAATTAAATTTTAATTAAAAATATCATCAATATTTTACATATGAAATTTGTAGGTAAATTTACATATCTACTGCACATTCTGGATTTATTTTCATGTTTAACATCTTTATTTTCATATTTATACTTATAGCTAGGGCTGTCAAATTGGCTCGTTGTTCGTGAACAACTCGTGTTCGACTCGTTAAGCAGCTCGTTCGTTAAACCTAACGAACCGAACACAAACTAATTTTTAAGCTTGAAATGTAAACGAGTCGAACACGAACAATTGTTTGTTCGCTCGTGTTTGGCGCGAAATGACTCGAAAAAAAATTATATAATTTTTTATATAACAATATATTAAATATATTATTTATATAATAATATATTATATATATTTATGTTTAAATTTAAATCATAACACCTCTTGTGGCAATGTGGTTAGTGTCTTCTTTTGTATATATTTGATCCAGGTTTGAATGTCACACTTTACATCTATTTTTCTCAATTTTAGTTTAACGAGCCAATTTCGAGCCGAACACGAGCTGAACACGAACACGAATATTTAAATCGAGCCGAACACGAAAACAATGTTCACGAGCCAATTTCGAACACCAGCTATTTCAAACGAGCCAAGTTCAAACGAGCCAAACACGAACCAAACCTGAGCTCGCTAAAGCTCGACTCGTTTATAGCCCTACTTATAGCAATGGTACCGAAAACCTTACATGTTCAACGTGTTCAACATCTAAACTTCACTTCTTCATATTCATACAACCTAAATTTCTGAGATCACATAAGAAAAATATCACTATTTAAACTTTAAAAGATGAAATAAAACTTTCCATGCATAAGGTGCCATATGTGTAATGTTTGAAGTTTTGGTGTTAGATACGTAAATACATAAAATAAGGTGGTTTGTATGTAAATCTTTCTATACGGAAATGCTATGTAAGCTTATCGCATGCTGCGCCATTTTCATCAGTTTTGTTTATGAGCGTTCACAGACTCTCTCTCTCTCTCTCTCCAAAGGATTATTCTCCTTTGCTATACATGTTTGACTCTGCTTAGCTATGTTTAAATATGGTATCCTGATTTGGATTTATTGCTGTGATTGGGAATTATTTTTGCCACAAAAGCTTAAATCCATCATCTTCGCATAAGAAAGAGTGATATCAAGCAATAACGATCAAAAGGATTTACATTCATACCACTTAATTACTAATATTTACATTTCTAGCACCTAAATTCAAATTTAAATGTATATATCCGCCCTTATTTATGTACGAAAAGATATAAAAAAATTTATGTGTTATTAAAGATTTGAAAGGTATAAAAGTAAAAGTAAAGTTGAGGTGTTAGATATGTAAATACGTGGTAATTTGATGGTATATACGTTGAGCAATGTATATACCATCAAATAGCTCGTAATTTGATGGAAAATATTTTAGATCTACAATAATTTTCCTTAATTTTTATTTTTATATAAACTTGTGGTCTTTAACTTATTTAAGGCTGCACTAAAGTGAAGTTATGTCAGCTGTTTAGTATGGTTTATACCCAATGTAGTGGTAGTAGAATGTGCAGCTATTATTTATGTGTTCATTGAAGCTTGAAATGATACATATTTTTTTTAACTTATTTAGGCATTTTTTATCAGCCAGATGATTTTCATCTCTGAATTACAATATTCTGAAGTTGCTGCTATGGATATAAATATAATGTTGTAAGGATTGTTTAGACATTTGTTTACTTTTAGGGTTTATTTATAATTTCATAAAAATTTAAATTTTATAATGTAATTGAACTATTTTATTATAATTATTAAATTGTAAACAGAAATATCTGCTCAGAACATCTTGAAGGAATTATTTCATTGAAAAATAGCCTTTTCAATTGTCCTTGTCTTGTGCCAGGTGCCAAACCTGTGATCGATAAAAAGGCCAAAAAAGACAGAAAAGCAGCAAAGCTCAATAAAATATCTCTACTATTATGTGAAGAAACTAGAGGTTTTAAAATATTTTTTTTTTTATTTATTTCATAAAAATAAAATCAGACAATATTTTTTTGTACGCCATTAACAAATTCCAAGACTTGAGGCTTGAGGTTTGAGGAGAGCTTGAACCCTGAGGGGAGAGCTTGAGGATTGAGCAGAGCTTGAAGCTTGAAGAAGAGCTTGAAGTCTGCATAAGAGTTTGAATCAAGAAAAAGACTTCAAGTTTTGAGAAAGAACTAAGTTAGGCTTCACTTCGGCTATTGTCAACCACCACTTGTTGGCCCTCAACGATTCTCACCGGTCGCAACCTCTTCTTTTGTGATGAGGTCGTTTGTGCATTGACATTGTAACTCATATGACTTTGTAACAATTTTCCGCCAATGAAAGGTGGGGGTTCTATAATCATCAACTTATAGTGAATCTCTTCAATTTGGTCAGACCCCGTTATCTTTCCCTCTACAAAGTTTCCACACAACAATTTATGGTATACCTACCGGTTGTTTCTTTCATCTGAGTGTAAGTTGAATTCTCGTACAATGCTAAGATGAAAATTTGTTACTCAACCGTCGCAATCTTGTAGAACACGTTAATTTTTTTTTAAAAAATAGTAATTTCATTTTGTTAATTATTAGTTCTTATTTAACATAATAAATAATAAATAAATATTTAATTAATTAAAATATTGAAAAAATATATACAATTGATTCTAGGGGTGCTAAAAATTAACCCGACATATGAACTTGAACCAAACTCAACTTGAAATTTCTTGATTTGGATTGACCTAAATATTTATCGTGTTGAATTCAGGTTAAAAATTCAAACATGTTTAATTTTCCAATTAATGTTAGAGTTAACCTGTCAACCCTAAATTGATTTGAAACAGACACCAACATAAAATTGATCTGAAATTTACTCGAAATTGACATGAAATTTAACCAATTTTAATCTAAATAACAGTTATTTCGATTTGATATGGCAAATTGAAAACCAATTACGTTCGGGTTATGTTTTCTTACCTGTATAATAATCGAGTCGATTTCAGGTCAGACCTAACCTGACCCACTGATCCAAAAAGACACGCCTAATTTATCCTAAACTATTTCTCTCTCTCTCTCTCTCTCTCTCTCTCTCTCTCTTGTGTCCAAGCAACTCATTTATGTCATTATCGTCCACCCAATATGGTTTGTTGAATTAATTTGTTATTTTAATGCTGCTGGATCTGAAGCCGTGCATGTACGGCCATGATTTTATGTTTAGGGTTTTGCCGCGTTGTCATTCTTTATTCATATTTTTTAATTTCTTGTAAGGAATTAAATGTTTTAAATCTTGGAAGGTTTCGGTACACCCCACACAATCTTATGTATTTATATATATATATATATATATTACAGTTAAAACTTTCATATTTACATGCCTAACATATATGTATTCCATTTTGAAAATGTAGGTGAGTGGTTTATATATATATATACATATATATATATAGCTAATATCTA